GCTGGTCTTGAACTCACAGAGATCTGCCTGCCTCTGCCTCTCAAGTGCTCGGATTAAAGGCGTGCACCACCAAGCCTGACTGTGTTTGACATTCTTAACCATCAAGGAAACACAATTTTTTAAAAAAAAAACTCTGCGTTTTATTTATTTAATTTTATGTTTATGAGTGTTTTGTCTGCACATATGTAAGCGCACCACATGGGTGCAATGCTCAATGGAGGCCAGAAGAGGGCCTCAGATTTCCTGGAACTGGAGTTATTGATGGTTGTTAGCTGCCATATGGGTGCTGGGAACTGAATCTGGGTCCTCTGAAAGAGCAGCAAATACTCTTAACTACTGAACTATCTCTTGAGCCCTGAAATACAAATTAAGTTTTCAAAGACTTTCTCTCTCTCTCTCTCTCCTTTCTCTCTCTCTCTCTCTCTCTCTCTCTCTCTCGCTCACTGTTCTCTCTCTCTCTCTCTCCATGTGAGTGCAGGTGCCTCTGGAGGCCAAAAGAAGTTGCCCTGGATTGGAGTTGCAGGTCTTTGTGTGCTACCTGGAATGGGTGCTGAAAATTGAACTCAGGTCCTGTGGGAGGGCAGCAGTATGTGCTCTTAACTACAGAGTCACCTCTCCAGCCCCTAATTATTTTTAAATTTTATTTTAATATTTTTATCAATTCAAGAACTTCATATGTACATATTTTGATTCTATTTCCACCCTCAGTTCTTCCCCATCCACCCCCAACCTCCCTACTCACCCAACTTTGTGTTTTTTTTTCTTCGTCTAGTCCAATATGAGTTGCCCAAATACTTTTGGTTGTGGAACCTGCCCTGGATTATGGTTAACCTACCAGGGACCACAGAAAACTGACTCTTCCTTTCCCAGCAGCTATCACATGCCTTAGGACTGGGACTTCCTGCCCACGTCCCCTTCCATGCTGGGATTTTGTCTGATTTGAACGTGAGCAGATCTTGTGCATGCTGTCACAACTGCTGTGAGGTCATAAACGCAACTGCCCTGCCGTCTGGAAAACACTGTTTCCTAATAGTTCACTACCTCTGGCTCTTACAATCTTTCCATACCCTCTTCCTCAAAGATCCTGAGCCTTGGGAGAGGGGTGTTGTATAGGTGTCCTATTTAGGACTGAGCACTCCACAGTCTCCTATGTTGACCAGTTGTGGATCCCTGTGTCACTTGCCTTTTACTCTTTGGTGGCAAGCACGTTTACCCACTGAGCCATCTTGTCAGCCCAAGAAGCTTCTTTCTGTAGTAAGTAATGATTATTGGAATCTTTGTGCTGTGGCCTAGTTAGCAGAAGCGGATTGTTGGGGGTTGTTCTTGAAGGTGATATGCACTTCTGGCTCTGACTGAAGTTCTCTTTTTTCTGGTTGCCTGAGATGAACAAGTAACCCTATAAACTCATGCTGTAGTGACATAAGTTGTTCATGCTTCTGTGTCCTCTCCGTCATGATGGACTGTTTCCACTGAAGTTGTGAACTAAAATAAACTTCTCTCTTTCGCTCCTGTCAGTATTTTGTCACAGATACTAATATGGAAAATTAATACCAAGGGATGGGATCTTTGCAATGATATACCTGACCATGTGGTTTGTAGGCCTTTGGAGCTGGTTTGGGGAGGAGTGTGAAAGAGGGTGGAGCCGAGAGTGAGAAAAGCCCTAGAATGCTGTAGTCAAAACTTGCTAGCCATTCTGGCGGGAATTCGGAAGACCAGAATGAGATTCAGATTGCAAAGTCTATGCTCATGAGGTTCCAGATGGGAACAAAGACTCCATCAGGAACTGGGTGAGGGGGCATTCATCTTACATTCTAGCAAAGAATCTGGCTGTATTCTGCCTGTGTCCTGAAAGTTCAAGTGGCTGAATTCAGAACTAATGACTTACTGCTTTCCCACAGGCTCCAAAGCAACAAGGCCAACTAACCAGGAACAAAAACCTCTAAAGCTGTGAGCTGAAATATAATTTTCTTCCTTTTAAGTTGATTATCTCAAGTATTTCTTACAGTAATGGAAAGTTGAGTAATATCTTGATTACATGACATTTCTGAACTGTGAGGGTCATTTTGGACTCCAGGCAAAAAAGGATTGCTTTACTGACTCAGGGTTCTGAGAGTTCCAGAGTTCATACAGCTGTTCAAAAAAGCTAAGTGGAATGATATCAGAGGTCAAGGTCAAGGGCTCCTGCTTTATTTTTTCCAGAAGTAAAACTAATTTTTAGTGCTTTCCCAAATGTGAAATATTTTAAAAATAGACTATAAACTTTAGAATCTTGTTTTATAATACAGGCTACTGTCACTATTCTTGTTGGCAAGACCCTTTTGCTGAAGTCACCATATACTGGAGTCACAGGACACAGAGAAATCAAGCTGGTGCTGACCTGGAAGCTGTATCCCTACTGCTATCTTTCATAGTGCCAGAAGGTGCTATACATGCTACTGGGGGAGAAAAGTCATAAACATGCTTAACTAGCTGTGAGCCTCTGAGCTCAGTTATGACTATCCTGGCAAGATACACCCATTGGTGAAAGAGTGGCACAAATGTTTAGGTAGTAACCAACTGCTTTCAGATTGGATTTAAGGCCCACTCCATAAGAATACCAATGTTTGGTACTGTTAACTGAGCCAAGAACCATGGCTGGGTAGCTCATAGGCCATAGGCAAGAACTCACTACTATTATTAAGCTAACTAAATGGGCACAGTATTAAACTGTACCCTAAACACTTATCTTTAAACCCATGGATTAGTGTATTTCTCAACCTTCATCAGAGAAGCTTCTTTTTGCAGTAGATGGCAATTAACGCAGACTCACAACTGCAAACTACTGGGGAGTGCTTATTCCTAAATGAGACATCTGTATCACACCCCTTCACTCCAAGACTTAGGGATCATCACATAAGTGGAGGTAGAAAGGTTGTAAGGTAGTAGAGGACTGCTGTGAAACAGTGTTTCTTGGTCATGATGGGGACATTGCACACATGAACTCACAGTGAAGGTGACTGCATGCACACGGTCAAGGCAGCCAAAATCCCAGCATGAATGGAGTAGGCGCTCACGAGGTCCCACTTCTAGCTAATGGCTAGACTTCTGGAGGAGGGAGAGTCAGTACTTCAGATGCAGCTCCTGATAGGCTTCTCATGTCTCAGTGGATTCTACACCCATGCACATCCCAGCAGCACTAAGTGGACTCAATAGGGTTAAAAAAGAATGTGAACTTGGGAAGGAAAAGTGGTAGTGGTGGGGTATGAGAGGAGTGTAGGGGAGGGAGTGGGGGGGTGGATTTGATCACAACACATCGTACGTATGTATGAAAAACAATAAAAAACAATCTTGCTTTACCTCCTTAATTCTTGCATATGCTTAGTAGACATGAATATTATAGTTATTGAGATGTCTGTCAAGTAGGGAAACAATTAAATCTAGCAATTTGGATGGTTAAACAACTATAATATTGAAGCATTAGGTAGTTTGAAGAAGGAAAATTTCCAACAAGTTGAAATCTTAGTGTGAATTATCTTGAGGATGAGACTTTGAATGGAAAGCTGCCAGTACTTAAAAGGCAAGAAAAACTCGTGTGGTTTCTACCTCTTCATAAAAGTGTAACAGCCTCAAATATTGCAGAACAGGTATCCACTGTTTTGCATAAAGTGTTCGTGGTTTAACAAGTGATCACTAATTTAAGAAAATTTATTATTTTTATTTTATGTGTGTTAGTGTATTGCTTGCATGTAGGTTGGTGCATCCGTGTCATGCAATGCCTGTGGAGCCAGAAGAAGGTGTCAGATCCCCTGGAACTGGAGTTATGGATGGTTGCTAGCTGCCATGTGGGTGCTGGGAATCAACCCTGGGTCCTCTGCAAGAGCAGCCAGTGCTCTTAACTGCTGAGCTATCTCTCCAGTTCGTGACCACTAATTTTAAATGAGTTAATTTTAGTAGTCCAACATATTGTTTGAGGGCCAATTATTTTTGGTCTTATTTTGTTTCACTAAATTTTACCCTTCCAGCCGGGAGACCTGCAGTCATTCAGGGTCTCGAAGTCCTGATGCAGATTGACAAACCAACATAAGACATTCTATGTGGATTTTGCATAGTTTATATGACATTTGAGAGGGGGTGGCTTACAAAGACATGGATTCTTATAGGCTTTTTATGCACGTGCCATCTGCCTTCTGCCGGCAGCATTTAGGGCACAGCTGCTTGCCATTTGCCCATGCTCAATATAGTGACAGCTCCACCCCTTTTTCCCAGTGTGCTCTGAGTCCCTCACTCTGGCCCTGGATCAACTCCAGCTTTTCGGATGAACGTCCGGGTTACATATGTATTCAGTTAATTTTGTTCCTTTTGCCACATTAACCTATTCTCAGAAAATATTTATTGTTTTTTGTACTGTCAGTGTTGTGGATGTAGCAGGGAACAAAACAAATAAAACTTAGCTCCATGGAGTGGAAGACAAATTAAAGTATGAAATATGATTTCAGATACTGGTGGAGTGCTCTGAGGAAGGAACCATTGGCAGAATACCAAAACAGAATGGTGCTGCTCATCCTTGTGTGGACACGTGAGCATGTGTGTGTGAACCGAGGAACACAAAAACGTGATTCTTCCCTTGTAGCACAGCCTTAAGGTGGGTTGAACCTGGCGGTCACAGGGATCCCAGAGTAGCTATGACTCTGTTATCAGAGCTTTGGGCACAGGGGTGACCACCTTTGTACATGGGATTTGTGGTGTCAGAGCTATACATGGCAAATACTTCTGCTAGAACAGAAAAGATGAACTCTTTAACCCGTAGATTGCTGGCATCGTGAAGCTGTTGAACTGATGATCACTGTTGTATATGTGACATACTTTGCAAGCCTCTGAAACACCTTACAGATCTGATCATTAATCAGCCAAACTGGGGGCAGAATGTTCATGGGGGTGGGATGCAACAATTGTGCTCCATGCATGGCTGAGCTAGGAAGTGTGGCTGGAAAAATGAAAACGGACACTTTGTTTATGCCATTGTTCAGCTTTTAATTGTTTCCACAGAGATAAATTACTTTTTAAAATGTGACATCAAATTTCGTTTGGTTTCCTGAACTCTTTGGATCATCTCCAAAATTTAAAAGGAACATTGAATGCAGAACCAAGGCTTTAAAAGTCCTTCTGCCACGCAGTGTGTTGCTACAAGGACAAATCTACTGTGCTATTCCAGGTTTAGGAAATAGTTAATGCCTTGAACTATTCCTATCACCACTGGCTGCCAGGCCACCAAGTAACGAAGCCAATCCAGGATCTTTGCATAGAGCATGTGTGTGCGTTCCCAGCTGAGGCTCGGTTAAGGGGGTTCTTCTATATAGAGCCAAGAAGAAAAAATTATCAATATCGCTTGCAGATACACTAAGCAGTGTCAGAAGAGGGCATGTCCTTTCTTGCTAATTCTGTGCGCTCTAGTAAAAGCACTCCAATACTTGGCTCCTCGGTGCAGATGGTCCCAGCCACTAGGAGGCTGAGGCAGGAAGGGCACTTGAGACTGGGGGTTTGGGAACAGCCTGGGCAGCACATTGAGAGCCTGCCTCTTGAAAAACTAAGAAAGAAAGCTCTTCACATGATTTATAGCATTATGGTTATTGTTATTCACACCACACTCATTTTTGAAAATAATTGCTATCATTCATAGTATGCTCAAACTGATGAAAGACAGAGCTATGTGATAGAGGAGGGGGAAGTTACTCTATGGAAAGCCAAGAAAAATAGAAGTTATTGTACGTCAGCAAAAACTTAGCTCTGGGTCTTCCTGCTGTTGGCACAACAGCGGGAACTGTATACATTAAAAAGACTAAAGCCAGTTCATTTTATAAAGCACATTTTTTTTTTCTGGTACCACTAACAAAGCATGCTAAGGGAGCTTAATGAATGCACAGTATCTCTGCAGCAATTTTAGAAATGAAGGGCAGCTTTTTCACTTGAACTTTTTCTTATACCGAGTGTCAATAATGAGGGCACAGGTTACGTTTAGCAATTTATTCTCTCTAGACCAATATAAATGAATAGTTGTTATTTATTCTATAATCTAAGGTGATATAGCATTATATGATCACATCACCAATTTTCTAACAGATTGATATAATGCAGTTTTTTAAGTTATTAGCTGAAGGTTTTTGAAGGCAGGCACCTCACACTAGAAGGGACCTTCAGGGACAGCGCATGGAGAGGAAGGTGGGGGAACACCACACCCTTCTAGTCTCTAGCTGGGCATCTGTTCACCCAAACCTCCACTCAGGTGGCCCCGAGACCCTTCTCTGATGCTGCCTCTTCCGATGCTCTTGTTGGAAGTTTCCCTGTTTGCAGTAGTCGGAGATGGGGCATTGCTGCTAGTGGCCACCATGAAGCCACATGCCTGGGGTTAGTGAACAGCAGAGGAACGGGGGAGGAAGTTGCTTGGCACCATGAAGTTTATGACTGCCACCAAGGACAGAAAGGCAAGCTCACATGAGAAGACAGTATGTGGCAGGCCAACGCCAACCTCTTGGTGCCCTTCTGCCTAAGGGTGATGTGTTATAATCTCTTTAACTGTGAGAAGAGATACAATATGGTCTTGGGACAGAGATGTGCTGGACTAAGTCTCTCTTCTGGATGGGGCCATTACTTTCCCAGGATCTTAATGTGACTTGAGTTTATTCTCTCAAGCATCCCAGTGTCTATAAACATACTAGTCACGCTTGCTATAGTCACGCTTCCTTCCCATGCTTGTTAAGAAGTTGAGGGGGGAGTCAGTTACCCCTCCCACCTAATCAGTCAATCTTAGCTGCATGTAGGGGAGGGGTTAAGGATATAGAAGCCTAGAATGCCAGGAGGCCCCTCTCTTATTTTCTGCGCCTGTCAGGAAGTCATAGGATCTATATTTGAGTGTGGACTTTGCAGCGCAGCTGTAAATGGGGGGGCACCCACTCCTCTGTAAATATACCCCAACCCTGTGCTCTGTTAAAAAAAAAAAAAGAAAAAAGAAGTCCTAGCTTGCTGCCTTGGGTTGACCCAGCCTGGAGGTCTTGTGTCTTTTAAATATTGTTATTGCTAGGATCTAGCTTAAAAAGCAGTAAAACATGATAAGAAATTTAAAAATCTAAGATCCAAAAAGAGAAGAAACCTAGCCATTTCTGGTAAAAATAAAAATTTTAAGTTACTGGAATATTTCTCTCATTTTAGTCCACATATTGAGCTTTAAAAGTTTCAATTCCAGGGGGCTGGAGAGATGGTTCAGTGGTTAAGAGCAAAGGACCCAGGTTTGATTCCCAGCATGCACATGGAAGCTAAAAACCATCTGTAACCCCAGGTTCAGGGTCTCCGATGCCCTCTTCTGACCTCTGCAGACATTACACAACATGGATGCACTTACACACATGCAGGCAATACACTCATACACATAAAATAATAAATAAAATATTTTTTAAAAGTTTCAATTCCAATTTATAATTTATCCATGAATCTCTCCACTCATCCATCTAATCCAACTACTTATCCATCCATCCATTCATCAGCTCAAATATTTTTCCTATATTCTGTCCACTTTTTGCATCATCCTAACACATTTCTACAAATCTCTTAACATAGAAAATGTGAGAAATAAAGAGTGGGATGACCTTAGGTATTTAACTTCCTAGTCAGGATAGGACTATAGGCACACACACACAAAGAAGTTATGTTGAAATAGGTTGCTAGAGACAACAAACAAAAGTTTTCTACCATAGCTATTCAAAGATAATAGAAGTTTGGATTGAATGGTGCATCCTGAGAACTATCTAAACTAGTATTTTGCACATTTCTAGAAGGATACGGATTGCTGATCATCCTCTTCAAATCAACCTTCTCTTTGCAGTAAGGACAAGTCTGCTTTTTCCCGACAATACACCAGCCTCGGATGCAGAATTCATGAAAGCTGAAGCATCTTGTTAGGGAAGTTCTAGGAATGAGAGGACAATGCCCAGATCAAGGTGATCTGGGAATAGTCCTGCCTTTGAATTCGGTAGTTGAGGCTGAGAATAGCGGTCAGTCATGACTCACTCTGAGTGTACACATACCTCTTTAGGGAGAGTTTTATGGGCTAGTGGAACCCCCCAGAACAGTGAGGACGGAATGGGAACTGCATCAACTTTCTGGCCCTGTGGAATTTACTTAGCTTCTTGGCCTTATTTATTCTTGCTTGACTTGTTTGTAGTAAGAGTTAGATTTCTTAAAAAGTGAGAATGCTTTTGTGTAATAATTTCCCATGCAAATGCATCTTTGTGTTTTCCTGCCTCCCGAATTATGTATTTGCCATACATACCCTCTAGCGTTCCCAATTCCATCTTTAGTGCATTGCTTATTTCCTCTATGAAGTCAGATTACAGGCACTGAAGGTATTTATGTTTTTAAGCTTGTAGGTCTCCGCCCTCTTTCCTCTCCACTCTCTGTCCTTATCAAACCCAGAGCCTCATGCTAAACACTACCACTAAACTGCAAACCCAGGTCCACACAAGTATTTCTAATAACTTCTTAAATGTTTTCCCTCAACCTTTAAAAATGACTGATAAAAAGCTGTCGTGGTTAGTTTTTGTTAACTTGACACAAAGCTAGACATAGCTGGGAGAAGGGAATCTCAGTTGGAGAATTACTGCTATCAGACTGACCTGTGGGCATGTCTGTGGGGCATTTTATTAATTGCTAATTGGCATAGGAGGGCCCAGCCCTCTGTGGCCAGTACCATTCCTGGGCTGGTGGTCCTGGGCAGTTTAAGAAATGTAGCTGAGCAAGCCATGGGGAGCAAGTCAATTTCTTCATGATCTCTGCTTCAGGTCCTGCCTTGAGGTTCCTGCCTTGGCCACCCTTGAGGATGGACTGTAACCTGTAAGATGAAATAAATCCTTTCTTCTCTAAGCTGATTTTGGTCAGTGTTTTATCACAGCAAAAGAGAAAAGTAAACCTGAACAAGAGCCAATTATTTTTTGTGTTTTAATTTGTTTTGTTTCTGAGACAGGGTTTTTCTGTAACCGTAGCTGGCCTAGAACTCATTATGTAGACCAGGCTGGATTCGATCTCACAGAGATCCACCTGTCTTTACCTCTTGAGGGCTGGGATGAAAGGCATGTGCCACCATGCCTGGTTTAATTATTTTTAATGTAAACACAACAAAATTTTCAAATTCTAGATAAGCACAAATTCATTTGTATACACCACCTTTTCTAGAACGTCTTCCCACTGCTCTCAAAGTCGAGGGTGAACCCTGTGTTTTCTCACAGAACTCACTGTAAGGTATCATAACTTGCTGTGTGCTTACTGTCTTTCTTAGACCATGTGTTACCTGGGTGACTTTATGTGTTACTCATTTCTTTGTTATTTTTTTTGAGACATCATGATCACTGTTGTATATGTGACATGCTTTGCAAGACTGTAGCCCCAGCTGGCCTGCAAATTTATTATGTAGATCAGGCTGGCTTCCATCTCACAGGCACCCAGTCTCTACTTCCTGAGTGCTGGGATGAAAGGTGTACACCACCACATCCAGTTCATCTTTTTATCCTAAGCAGGTGCCTAAGACATATTTATTAAATGAATATTTGAATAGATGCTTCAAAATCATTTGCTTTGGGAAATTGGTATTTCTAAATATTGGTATTTCCCCAATATTGCAGATTGAATGATTTCTACAGTACTGGCCCCAATGTAGTTCTGGGGCCAGGATCACATGACTTTCTGGGCAACCTGATACACATCCATGTTAACAGCAAGGATGTAGAAGTTACCTCTCTAAGAAACAGAAGATCATGGAGGTGTAACCCTGGCAAGGCCATCAGTCTAATTCCTCAATACTAGCGTTCTACGCAATTAAGAGTTTCCACTATTTTATATTCTTGGCATCAGGGACATTTTTTGCAAGTTGCTTGGATTAACAAAAAGTAGTGTATTACAAGAAAGATTGTGAGCTCAAACCCATGCAGCCCTTTATTTACAAAGGCTGGCACACCTTCCAGATAGGCACAGAATTCTGGGGTCATGGAGCCAGCACCAACATCCACATCCTCTGTAATGTAATGTGTTCTTTCATCCTCAAAATCTCTACATTGAAAAACATGCGCATTGGCAGAGTTGCTGCAGAGCCATATTCAGATAGTCTCTTTTGGTAACACCACTCACATTTGTTCACTCCTCACCAGTATGACTCATGCCAAAATGGGCCATTAATAATATTCTCTGCAAAGCAGCTTTAAAGATGACTACATTCTAGATTACATAAGCATAGTTGTATAGCAATCCTTAAGGGCTTTTAAAGGTGAAGAGAGAAAATATTTCCACTTGAAAATGGCGGAAGGGGCTCTGTTCCAACATTTGAAAAGTAAATCATATTTAGAACTATGGCCAGACTTAGAAAATTTCTACTAAGAAGGATAGTTTGTTGGGGGAGGGGTGTGAGGGAAAGGTATAGTAAACCCTATCCCGAAACACTATAGAATTCCATATGGTATATCTTTGTTTTTATTCCCTTAAAAATTTTAAGGCTTAAATGTTGAAGAAAGACTCCTGCTACATTTGAGATGTATTTCTGACTTTTAGGCTTGAATAAGTGGAAACTGTCCAGATTAAACAGATTTGAATCATTGGCACTGCACAGCAAAGCATGAGGCATTACTAACTGAATTAGGTGAGCTGCAGTGGCGAAAGACAGCTGGTTTAAGCATCTCACAGTGCCAGAGCTTTGACCTGACTGGGCATACAAAGACAATGCTATAAAATTGGTGCTGCATTGTAAACATGAGCTATGCTTTGCTTTGTACTTAGGAACAAATGAAAATATGTGTTGCTAGCCAACTCAAACACAACTTTGGTATCTAAAGTCACATGCTTGGACAGCACAGCTGCTTTGTTTAAGGGTCTTGGCCAGCAATTTCCAGTTGAGGCTGTTCTCAAGGATTTCCACAGAAAACTGGTTTTCAGGTCCAGGCTTATCTGATACTGTTGTGCTTTGAATGTGAACTATTGCCCATGGGTTCATACGTGTGAACCCAAGCTGGTGGAGCCATTTTGGAAAGCTCTGGAACCTTGAAGAGGTGAGACCTAGAATAAAGGTGAGAATTATTGCTGCCTTCGGTTCCAGCTTTGCCCTCTGTGTTATGACTGGCCATGATGTGAACAGCCTCCACCACGTGCTCCTGCCATCATGCCCTCCCTGCCATGATGGACTGAAACCCTCTGAAACTGTGAGCCGGAATAAATCTTTCCTCCCTGAAGATGTCTTTGTGAGGGATTTTTGTCCCATCAGTGTGAAGATAACCAAGATGGATACCTACCATTCTAGACCCTTCGGCCAACAGGAGACCCCCAATAGGCAAAGGTGCTGGGTGGTCCAACCTTTTGTAATCTAAAGTGCAGGCTGCCTGTGGTGTTAATCTTTTCTTTAAAGACCTCTTTTTAGAAACTTGGCATGAGGCTTTTCTTCTTTCTTGCCCTGTTGACACAAGTGGGCTTCTAAGATTATTTTTAGTCAAAGTGGAATTTGTACTTCTTATTACAGAGAGATTTAGACACCAAGATTCTGCCCTGTGCTGATACACTTACCTTATTTTTGAGGGAGGACTAGCATAGACCCAGAGCCTTCTACACGCTAAGCACATGCTCTGGCAGTGAGTGATACCGGGACCCATACTTCACTCTCTCCCACTCCCAGCCCTTCTCTTTCTGCTGCTCCCTAGCCATGTGCTCCCTTTTGGCTTCTACCAGCTTCCCAGGCAGCACCCTGCTCAGATGCTGTGGCTTTTCTGCCCATGTGTCATGAAGAGCTCTCTTTAAAACGGATGTTACTAAGCCTTGGTGTAGTGGCCCATGCTTTTAATCCTAGCACTTGCCAGGCAGAGGCAGCCGGATCTTTGTGAGTTTGAGGCCAGCCTGGTCTACATAGTGAGTTCCAGGCCAGCTGGGGCTACAGGGAGATGCTGTCTCAAAAAGACCAAAACAAACAAACAAACAAAACCAAAGATATTACTATAAAGGAGGAGGCTCATCTTAATTATTGTTATTGTATCCCTGCCCATTATTCAGCAGGTCTCAGAAGAAAGACAGGGCCAGAGGACAAAGGACTTGAGGATGGAACTAAGCAAGGCAGAGGAGATGAGGACAGAAGGAGAGGACCTGGAAACCAAAGGCTGGAGGAAAGCCAAGAAGAGGTTCCATGGAAAGGATACATGTGACTACAGGACAGCTGGTAGGTGTTTTCAATGAGCCCTTCTTCGTCGAGGGCCACAAAGATCTTCTGCCCACAAATCGCACAGATGTCACCTGACAGGCTCCTGGTGGGCATCCCGCTGACACTGTAGAACTGCCAGGGAAACGTAAAGAGCGCCATGGAAGGAGAGCCCCTGCCACTGAATGCCTACATGGCAGCCCCTGCAGTTACTGCACCCGGTAGCCCTCAAGACACAGTCTTCATTGCTTCTGAGCTGGGCTAGGCCCTGAGCTGCCCTGTCCTGAAGCAACAGTGCTCGGAGGAGTTGAGCGTGCCCGGCAGGACTCAGCAGCCTCAGTAGACCCAAAGTGCATTGCAGCCATAAGCATCCATTAAGCCTCTGCATTTATTCTGTCTTTGTGAGGCCATTTGTCCAGGATGGCAATTCAAAATCATATGGGCAGCTTTTGAGCTTATCCAGTCACTGGTCCTTCCCTTCATTCTGGAGACCTGGAGCGAATCCAAACATTTACCTCCTTTTTTAGAAGTCCGGGCTCCTAAGGGGACCTCTGATCTGCAGCCCACCATGTGTGTACTCTGCACCCTCCACCATGTCTGTCCTGACCCACCTAGGTGACAGTGTTCGGCCCGGCTTCAAGGCCATGCGTAGCTGGGTCCAAGCAGTGCACAGGTACTACCAGCCTGACCTAACAATACCTGAAATTTCAATAAAGCCCAAAGAACTCAAAACTGAGCTTTTGGGACTGAAAGACAAACACAGTGAATCTCCAGTTTCACAGCAATAAACTTCACAATACAACTGTGCCAAGTATTCTGTGAATAAGTTTTAAATATGTGGAATTTTTCTCAATATTGGTAATACATTAGAATGCCCGAGAAGCTAAAAACATATCAGGCACAACATTTACTTTATAACAGTTCAGATATAAAGAAAATATCCAAAGCCAGTGCGAGGAGTGTCCTATGCCTCACACTCAGCTTCCTCCATTACTAATACGAATGAAATGTATTTTAAGGACCCACAGACAAAGGTGTGGAGCTGAGATCTGTCACAGGGAAGATGGGCAGGAGCTGGGGCAGTTCCAGCAGCGGTTCTCTGGGAAGCTTCAGGCTTCATTTTTCCTGCCTTTGATTAGAGGAGAGCTGCCCACACTGGGGAGGGCAATTCTCCTTCCTAATCACCATGAAAGACCTGCAGGAGGCTCCTAAGTCTGCCTGCTTTTCTGAATTACTCAGAAAAGTCTAACTTTTCTTTTTCTTCTTTTTAATCTCGGCTTTAAGCATGCCTTTCCCTAACACTTCGGGCTTCCTCTCCCACCCAGCCATGTGGCTGCTTGTCCACCGTATGGTGACTTCCACGTCAGTTTAGCTCCGAGTGCCCAGGCTCTTCTTTGCTTTTTTCCCCTTCTCTTTGCCATTCTTCTCTTCCGGGCAGTTGTTGAGATTTATAGCTTGCCGGCCCAGGGATTTTTCTTTTAAACTCTAATAAAATTGTCCTGGAGCTTAAAACAAAGACAAAAACAAAACAAAAAACCTCTTCCCAGCCACATCTAAACTTGTGCTTCAACGAGCAGTTGGCTATACAGTTCACATAAAATGTCACCACCACAACCTCTGTAAGGTGACATGCCTACATCAATTTTTTTTTCCTGCAGTCATCCATCTACTTTCCACATATGTATTGATAGTATTCATTTGTTTATGTCATTATGTGCTCCGGCTGTTTATTTTATACTCTGGGCTATACTTTACTTCTGCCCTGGGCGTTCCGAGGCCTTTCAGCCGGCTCCTGTTTCTTTGGCGTCCTTGTGGGATTTATTTTGATTTCAGCATTTTTTACCTTCAGGTGCTATGACATGCTCCAGGCTCACTGAATATTCCTTGTGCAGATCTATAATCAGATATTTCTCCAGAAAGTCCTGCTTCCTTTGATTGTAGAATGACATTAGAAACCAAGATCTGGCAATCGGAGTGCCATTGCTTCAAGGACCTCTTAGGTAACATAGTGAGGAAATGCATCTGTGTATCCCAGCTTGGCATACATACATATCTACGAATGATTGTAGGTATTCATCTGCATCTATACTAAGCAAAAAAGAACTTCATACTGTTATCTCCAATGATAATCAGTTACTATGTACAGTATGTTAGCCTTTTCTCCTTGAGTATCTGTAATCTCTCATTCTGACAGGAAGAAACTTAGCTTCCCCATCCTCTATTCATTTGTCTAGTGGTTGAGTTCTATAATGCATATAAAGAACTATCAGACTTATTAATCCGTAGCCCCTAGGACAAAGATGCTGTACCAACTAGAACACAGTGCTGTGTACAGTTCCTTTTGCTTTTACTCTTATAACCTTTAAAGTTAGGATAAGACATTTCCTGCATACCACTTTCAGTAAGATTTCACACATTTGCAATACAGTTAGATTCTATTCATCACAGTCTGCATTCTATCCTGGGATTCTCTGACTTCCTAAATAATTTTCAAATTTCACATGCATGAAGATTGTTCAACCTTTCTGCTACATGGTTCTATGGATTTTGAAAAATGCAGTCTCATGCATCCATTAGCCTAGTATCAAACAGAGTAACTCCACTACTATAAAAAGTCCCCTGTGCCCCAAGTCAACCCTGCTGAGTTCCTAAATCCCTGGCAATCACTGCTCTGTTTAGCATCTCTATTCTTGTCCTTTTTCCAAAATGTCATATGAATGGAATCATACAGTATGCAGTCTTTTTGGACTGGCTCCTCACACTCAGAAATATGCAGTTAAGATCCATCCATTTGTGGGTGGTTTAATAGCTTACTCCTTTTTCTTAGGAGCTTTTAAAAACGAAGCAGATGCATTGGCTCCACTCCCAGCGATTCCAATTTAATTGATCTGGTGTGGGGCTCAGACACGGGTGTGGGGACTGAGATTGCTCCTCCTCTGCTTCCCCCTTATGTCAGTCACAAACACATACACGTGTGTGCATCTGTGTGTACAGACACAGGTACATGAACATGCATACACATATACACCAAGTTACTAGGGACTACAAAAAGAGAGTTGTAGGACTTTTGAGAAACAGATTTGGGTGCTGTAATGAAGATGAAAGAAGATGACAAGATTTAGGGCTGTGGGGTGGGCTCAGGTGAAAAGCCTGTAGAAAGTTGGTAATTACTTGCTGTTTTCACCAGTTGATTTTTTTCATCATGGTTTGTGGGAGAACATGTATAACTTTTCTGTTATCTCATGTTCATGGACAAGCATAATCTTCTAGAATTTTCTTAGGGACATGACTTCTGGGTTTTGTTGGAACTGGGAGAGAAATGTTTCTTCCTGTGCACACCCTGAACCTTCTAAGAAAGGCAGTTTCTTGCAGTTGTTTTTTTAGGTGACACATGAGAGAGGGACTCCAAAGGTAGGTTGTTCCAACACTTCACTACAGGAATTGGTTTGTAGGCTCTAGGAAGATAGTAATATAGAGCCTGTGGGAGCTGGGGAGATGGCTTAGTGATTAAGAGCATTGGCTGCTCTTGTAGAGGATCTGGGTTCAGTTCCCAGCACCCACATGGCATCTGACAGCTGTCTGTAACTTCAGTTCAGGGGATCTGACTTCTTCCTCTGACCTCCACAGGCATTACAGACATGGGTGCACTTACACACATGCAGGCGAAACACTCATACACATTTAAAAAAAGAGCCTTTGGTGGAGAGGAAGAAAAAAGGGGTGCAGATGAGGTCAAGGTCATGTCCACTTAAGTCCTGCCCCACGAACGGAGAAAGAATCCAGAAGTTCACTCTGCTCTTTCTGCTTACACAGTTTTTCACTTCAGATCTGACTGTGCATCAAGAGAGGCAGAGGATAGGACGTGGGCTACCTGAAACACTGAACCCTTGGTTTCTAGGTGTACAGAGGCTGCGTATGTGCCAGACACTGGTGGACGTTCCTAATACCTGAAACTGGAATCCATCTAGCCAGAAAGTATGTCCATTCTGAATTTTAATTTTAAGAGTTGAAAAACACAACTATTTGGAATTTTTTTAGAGAATCCAATCAATAATCTACAGCCAGAATACATACAGTTTTTATATCTTCTTCGCACATTGTATAATGGTGACTAATCTCTATGACAACTATTACCTCAAGTTACTGCTGATTTAGAAATGTTTTATGTAGCTTCTTGTAATGATGAGGAAACAACCTAGGGCTTCATACATGCTAGGCAAGTATGCTACCACTGATGCTATATCTTAGATTTGATTTTTTATTAGATGGAATTTCACTCAGAGATAAACAGTTTTTGCTATGGTTCATCTTTTATTAACCTATTACGTTTGGCAATTGGAGTATGCTGGGTATAATGACCGAAATGAGTAACATTTTATTTTGCATGGTAAGATATTCCCCAATAATTCTATATAATAAATATATTTTCTTTACATTTTTTACATTTATTTATTTGTTTATGGTGCATGTATATGTGTGGGTGTGTGTTCCAGGGCTTCTGTATGAAGGTCACAGGACAACTTGTAGGGAGTCAGTTCTCTCCTTCCATCAGGTGAGTTCTGGTGATTGAACTCAGGTCATCAGACTTGGTAACAACTACCTTGACCCACTGAGTCATCTTGCTGGCCCTGAGCAATGCATTTTATAATTAGCTAACAGTGAATATATTTTTTATACAATGAGACTCCAGAGCCCGGCAAGGCTGGGGGAACCAAAACAGGACAAAAAGAAATGGTGCAAATGTAAATGGAAATCTATAAGATGAAGCCACTTCTTCCTGTGTCATAAATGATTTCAAACAATGATGGTACCACTTACCCCTATGGTAGAAGCCATGTAATCTGAGCAGATCTCAGCAAAGTCTCTCCCCATTATTCCATAGTAAAGACCATAGAACAAGGATACAATGCCAAAGTCCATGGAATCTCTATATTTGATTCTATGAAAAAACAATGCATAAAGAAGTAAGACTATGGCACTTGCATGTGGTGAGGAGAGGGCTAGAGCTTGGGAGACTTTACTTCCCACAGTTTGTAGCAGAGCTCTGTAGCTGTACTTTTTTTCATTAACTTGTTATTTTTCCTTTTTTAAAATGAGAGAACTTCAAGTTCTCTAAATTTCTCTAAAATTGTCCCACTCACTGTCATTGGACAAAGGAATTCTGGAACAATTGCCCTTATTCTTGGGTGATGTATTCCCAAACCCTCCATGGTTGCATGAAATCTTGGATAGTACTGAACCCTATCTTGGTGTTTTTCCCTATACACTGACTCATACATAACTGCATGAAGTTTAATTTATAAATTAACACAGTAAGAGGTTAAACATGACTGAGTAGAACAATTAATGTAGCATAGTAAGTTTCTGTGCTTTGAGATCATTCTTAACGAAAATTAGGGTTACTCGAACACAAGTACTATGATTCCGTGATAGTCACTCAACTGAGTGACTAGTGTGTGGGTAGTGTATACATCATGAAGCTCTAGACAAAGGAGTTAAGATGGAGCAGGGCGCTTCAGGATTTCATTAGGCTACTTGGAATGGTATGCAAGTCAAACTTACTGTTTATTTCTAGAATTTTCCATTTAACATGTTGGATTTTGGTAGATTATGAGTAACTGAAGCCAAACAAAGTGAAACCATAGATAAGTGGGGGCTACTGGAGTTTTGAAATGCTTCTTTGGAGTATAGTGTTAGACCAATCTGTTATAGCTAGTGTTTTCAAGGTTGGCTGAACATAGAAAGGCCTGGGAAACTTATAAAAACCATCTCCAGATGACACTGTAGCCCAGTTCCATCAGACTCTTGAGGTGGGAATCACAGTCTCAGGATGGGGCTTGTGCAGCAATAATTTTTGAAGGTTCTTTAATCCCAAGTGATTCCAAGGGCAGATAACATTATTTACCACTGGAGAAATAGTTCCTAGACCTAAACATACATTAGAACCACCTGGGGAGATTTAAGAACATATTGACGCATGGGTCTACCCTTGAGGATTTCAGGTAAGTTCATCTGTGGTGGGGTTTGGAGAGCAGCCTTCTCTCAAAAGATTGTCAGGTGACTGCAGTTCAGAAAGAGCCGAGAATCTCTGCAATAGACCTTAGATTCTATGGAACACTTTAAAATACTTTGACTTACAAAAAAATTTCTGAAATATTATTCCTTATTTGCATGTTAAAGCACGAAGACTTAAATAGTTGGCACCTTACAAAGTCAGGAATCAAGGTCAGATTTTCAGGTCCTTTGCTACTATGCCATAGTTGATACCTATCAACAAAACAAAAACTTTTTTTTTTTTACAAGCTGAATTAGATTTCAAATCCTGGGATTCTCTATGACAGTCTCTTCCCCCATTCTAAAGAAAGATCTCTTCAAAAGCATATAATTAGCCATAAACTTTATTTGTGAATCTTAACCCTTGCAAATTTGGTGTATTTTATCTGTTCAACATTCTCAAGTGCCAGTAGTCACCTGATAGGCTTCCCTGATTCTGGGCAGGGAGTGAGGTGTGGACAAGAGCTGGGTAGTTGCCTCACAAATCATATTCTGATTATTTTGTTTTTATTGTTTTTTTTTCTTTTTTTTTTTGGTCTTTTTGAGACAGGGTCTCCTGGTAGCACCAGCTGGCCTAGAACTTGCTGTGTAGACCAGGCTGCTCTGGAACTCACAGATCTGCCTGCCTCCACCTCCCAAGTGCTGGGACTAAAGGCGTGCGCCACCACACCTGGCTTTTATTGTTTTTTTTTTTTTTTTTTTTTTTTTTTTTTTTTTTGAGACAGGATCTCTCTGTTGCTCAAGCTGGCCTAGAGCTCTTGATCCTCCTTGCTCAGTCTCCAAAGTACTGGGATATAGTCAGGTATCACCATGCCCAGTTTTTCTTAAGGAAGAAAAGGGAAAGATAGTTTGTATATTTAGAAAATACAGATTGTGTGTGTGTGTGTGTGTGTGTGTGTGTGTGTATGTATAATGAACACAGATGGTTACTCATCCTTTGAGGATTCATCTGTGTATTTATGAGTATTAGGACAATGTGGGGGGCAGGGGAAAGATTATCTTGCTTCTGCATGCAGAGTGCTATGTATTTATGATCTTACTGATTAAAAAGTACAATAACAAACTCATGGCTCCATGTAAAAGAATCTCATCAACATAATCACAACAATTAGCAGTGAAAATATAGTTCCCTCCCAATCTAAGGGGTTAAGATCTTGGTATGCCTTATTGTAGGAGAATTCATGGATGAGTCTTAAAAATCTTAGGGAGTAATCGTCTTGGGGCAACTATAGTCTCAAGTGTTTCGTGAAAATCCTTTCAATTATTTTTACATTCATAAAAATAAAGCAAAATAGAAACTGCTTTAAAAAATCACAATCCATGTCTTTCTGAGACTTAATAATAGATTGGTGTAATTATTTTCTTTTCTTCTACAAATGTTAAGAGCTCTCTTTCTGGAAGTCCTACGAAATGCTTATAAAATTAGTCACTGCACTGCCATGGAAAGAGCCTATGGAAACACAGGGCTGGTTGTTCATCCAGTTACCTTTCTCATTCTATGAGGCAAAGATCGCCAACCTCTGCTTTTTATTTTCTGTTCCGGTCTCTGAGATTCGAAGTGGCTTCAGTATGAGGGACATTCTGGAGAACTTTGAGCTGCTTTCCATAGCTGTATAATACTTCCTAAATCCCCACTCCAGATCACAGGCCTTGTCCATGGCCTCATGAATTCCTGGAGAATCCCATCAAGCAGCCTAGGCAGCCACCTTCCCAGTGGAGACACAGTTCTAAGTAATAGACATGATTATTTCATTTTTTCCACAAGTCTCTTGTGTCCTGGTATCCCGTTATTTCTGTTCAAATTTCTAAGTACTCACTTTCCTCCTTTTCCAGCTCTCCCCACCAAAAGAGGCTTAATGGATACCAGAAAAATGTCCATTAGTGGTCAGTGTTGTTCATTGTAAATTATCCAGAAACACACAGAGTCAGACACTACATAATGATATTTCAGTCAGTGATCAGTCTTATATATGATGATGGTATGGTAAGATTTTATTATAATTTGCCTAAAAACACTTTGCGAAGATCACACAATGATGAAACTAACACAGGTCTCAGAACACACCCTCCTTAAGTGACTCACACATGCAATTCCAAATTTTTCTGGCAGCCACATTAGAAAGTAAAAGGAACAGATGAAATTTATTTCACCAATATATTGAAAATACTTTCATTTCAACAAGTAGTCAACTCAAATCCTTGTCCTCCCTTCACTGACTTTGAAATTCAGTGTGCGTCTCATACATACAATGCATCGCATTTCATATTTTAAGTGCATAGACCTCACATGAGTTAGCAGCTTCTATAATGGCCGGCTCAGATCTAAGAGTTGTAAGTAGATACACAGAGAAGCTCTGGACACCACTGTTCCTTTCTAATGGGTTCCTCCAATGATAAGACTACATGTGGCTATCTCCTATGAAACCTGTGGACGTGGAACACGGCAGGGCCAAGTGCTTCCATAGGAGAGAAGGACATGACCAAGCAGATGCTCCAAGCAAGGGCTAAGAAATATTAATGTCTTAAGTGAAGATACTTACTTGAAAATTAAATTGAATCCACACATTGTAAACATGATGGCCAAATAACCCACGACACCAAATGCATAGCTGATTTTGTAGATTAGAAGAAACCATTTGTAGACCAATCTGTGGAGTAAAAATTGGAGGTGACCCGTATGAACTTAAGTATTTTTGTCTTTTCATTGTTTAAATCAAGTTTTTATGTATTGATTTTTGAGGTTAAAGATCTTAAAATCTTTTCTTTTTCTTTTCAGAGTATAACTATGTAGCTAATCTCAAACTTGTGATCCTCTTGCCTCAGAATGTGGGAATTATAGGCGTGTACTATCATGTTTAGCTTAAGATATTAAAATCTTAAGTAGTAACAGTCTTGGGATGACTTTAGTCCCAAGTAATTTCATGAGAATTTTTATGACTATCCCTGCATTTATAAAAATAAAACATTACAGATGTATACTATTAATTTGTCTTTAAAATACATAAATTCCTGTATGTATTTAATATGCACATTTTAATATACACATTTTATAATATACATTATAAAATGTGTATATATGCCTATCAAGAATAACCCAGAGCTTTACTGTAATACAGCAGGCCGTAAACCTTGATCACGTGCTCCTTTGTATAAAACATTAACTTATCTATGTCTTCATGTACAATGACCTCCAAGAGTGCACCCTGTGCCTGGGACCCTGCCTGCCACCCTTTCTTCTCCGTTGACCCGAGGGTGAGCCTGCAGTGGTTTTGGCAAGAATATCGTGGAGACCAGCAAAACCTGAGAGCAGCTGCAGAGGAAGCCTTCCCTTAGCAGCGAGCATGCCTTCCCACCTGCTGTTCTACCCCTGCATCCCCAATCTGGGGCTGTGGGCCCAGCCCCCATCATCCCCTCCACACACGCACGCATGCATGCACGCACACCTGAAGAGCCTCATTTGTAGCTGTGGGGATACAGCTAGGAGTACTTAAGCCTTTGCTTGTGATCTGTGAATGGGAGCCTCATGGCTCTTAGCACACCTGAGGCCTTTTCTTCCTGCAGAGCCTAAGTTGGGATAAGGATGGAGGGAAGAGAAATGGGCCTGAAGGAGCCCTGTAACCTGTTGTTTCCTTCTTCATTGGCAATAAGGGCCTTTAGAAAAACTATCCCTGGGGCTGGAAAGATGGTCAGAGGTTAAAAGCACTAGCTGCTCTTGCAGAAGACCCGGGTTTGATCCCCAGCACCCACATGGTGGCTAACAGCTGTCTGTAATTCCAGTTCCAGGGGGACTGGATATTCTCTTCTGACCTCTGTGGATATTGCACATGCGTGCACTTACATACATGCAGACAATATACTCATACACATAGAAAATAAAATACTATATGAGTTATTAAAAAAATCTATCCTAGAGTCCCTGTGATGAGATGGTTGTTTCACCCCTGGAAGGCTGTGGAAAGGAGAGAGTATGCCATGGTAGGGGCTAAGCTCACTGTGACAAGGGCCGATGGAAGGAGAAGTGGTTGGAGCTCATCTTCAGTGTGAAGCGGTGCTTGGAATATCACTCTAGAGCACAGTGACAGGACACACTGTTTGCCCCTTGCCTCACTCCAAGCCCCATTCTCCCTCTGTAATTTAGCTTGGCTCTCTCACCTCAACCCCTCTGCCTTCTCTAATTTGTTTCCTGTGGGAAGCAATATGTTACTTCTTTAACTAAAATTTCTGATAGTATTAAAGCAAGCATTCGGTACTATTTTAAAAGATGTTTCATTTCATTGAGCTGCAATCAGAAAGGACTGTATAAATTCTTATGCCTTGAATAGGGGTCGTGGGCTAACCTGAGAAATGAGTTGCTGTTTTTGTCATTTCTATGCTGAAAGACTTTCTTCATTTAAGAAAAAGACACACAAGTGCCACGTGTCCTGGGACCTCTTCCCTGGGTGCACGCACTCTTGCCTATGGAGGGGCAAGCAAAGGTGCGATCTGTGGAGCAACACTTGCACAGCTGCACACATTGGCTTACATTAATATGAGCTGTGTTGCTTCTACAGAGGGCCAGGGAAGGTTCTGTGGTCTTTCTGCCAAGATATTTGAGGCCTGATTGTCTGGTTTGCCTGTGTTAAGCATTTCACATCACTGTTAAAGCAGCCAGATCCTGGTAGAGGTTAAACCTATGTTGCTAAAGGGATAAAGCTAGGGACATGAGTGAGTTCTGAGAGAATGTTCCTGGCTTGGCCCTAGCCTCAACCAGCACCAGTCTGTGAGTTCCTTGAACTTTACACACACTTAAGACCTCTCTTAAACTTGGGCCAGCATGACAGATGCTCCCTGGTTTACAGCATTTTGAATTGTAAGACCACTCTGTGCCAAGTGGTTTGTAGATTTAAGGAAGCCACAGCATACTCTTGTGGAGTGCAGCTTTGCAGACTAGTCATCTTTGGCTTGATCCTGGCTTGGCACCGTGGACCTTGGTCAACTTACTTGGCATTTACTCCCGTAACTACCTCATTTGTAAAGTGATGATGATAATGTAGCTCCTAACATTGATTTAAGAGTATATGATATAATACATTAGTGTTTAAAAGACTCGGCACTTTGGTGCTGGAGAGATGGTTCAGTGGTTAATTAAGAGCACTGACTGCTCTTGCAGAGGACCCAGGTTTGATTCCCAGCACCCACATAGTGACTAACAACCATCTGTAATTCCAGTTCCAGAGGGATCTGACGTCCCCTTCTGATGTCCACAGGCATTGCATGACACAAGTGCACCTACCTACATGCAGGTAATACGCTCATACACATAAAAAATATAAATACATTTAAAAAAATTTAAAAAAAGACGGCATTTAAGTCCCCAATATGCTGTATCAGTGTACAGTTGGCCAGATTTTCCATCTCCTCATCTTCCTGATTCTTGGTGGTACATGTTTCCGGGAATGGTGCATTTCAGAACTTCCTATCTTCTTCAATTTAGAAGCTGATAAGCCAGGTAAGGAACTGCGTTACTGCTGAGCAGCAGGAGAGTGAGGCTAAACCTTGCAATTGATAGGGCCACATTCAGCTCTGTGTGGCTTGATCTGACTTGACTGCTTGTCAAACAACCTGACTGTGGTAAGTAGAGAGGCAATTTACTTCCCTTTCTGTGGCCCTCTGACCCACAGCCAGGGCTTGGTATAATCCGTGGGAGGAAAGGTCAAGTTTCAACTTGTGTTAGTGGCAGTGACCACTCTTCTTGGTTTTGTGTCTGGCTTGATGGGAGTCTATACCACTCAACTTCCCTAGCCTGGACAAAATTCTCTGTACCTTAATTGAAGGCAGCTAAGATCTGACTCACCTCCAGTTTCATTACTAAATGCCAGTAAAGATGCTAGGGCCTGCTACATGATGGAGCAGCTCCTTTAGCCTACTGCTTTCCTAGAGGAGATCCTTATTAGCTTTTCTATTATCTTCTTTTCTTATGGCCTCCTGGTCTGCTTTAGAGCAAATCTTATTAAATAGTGTATTACAGCCCCAATGTGAGGGTCTCACAAGTAGATATGTATGGGTTATAAAAAATTTGGCTTCACTAAAAGGTGTCTTAACACAAAAACCAAAAATTCAACATCAAATGTGCAATAAATACTAGGTGTTTCTGGCAGTGCTCACCTGAATTACACTGTGAAACTTTACTGTAGTCCTTCTGAATACATAACATGCACGCTTTGCACTGATCATGCCACCATGTGGGCAATGCCACCAACTACTGTCCAAACCACTGAGACTTGAGTCTACTGTATTTATGCATTGTAGTATTTTTACTGCACATACAATGTTTTCTGCTCTTATAGAAACATAATGGTTTAATTATGAAAAACAATGAATATTTTCCTATGGTCATTCCTCGGCATGTAAGTATCAAATTAGTACACATAGCTTTGAATTGTATTGGGTTAGACAGACAAGCACAATCATCTCAGTAGGCACATCTGCTTTCATCTTTAGTAAATAGCAAAACTGTATATATACCAAAATATTGTTTTAAGAAGCTTATTATTTATTATCAGTAAATGTTTGATTTGTATATCTATTTTATATACTTATATATCCAGGGTCACATAAAAGTTTCTTGAGCGACAGCCCTAACTGATACATCTGTAATGCAACTTCTAAACCTAAGGTGCAAGGAACGTCACAGAAGAAGGGAAGGAAAGATTGTAAAACCCAGAGGAACAAAACTCCTGCTGCTAGTGCAGTCTAGACATGATAGGGAAGCTATAATCATGAAATCTCCACAGTATAGTAGACTAATAAGACTGGCATAATGACATGACTATTGACATGCCAGTGTGGATGGGGGAAATTTTAGAAAGTCCCACCTCTGGATGAAGAGCTACAGGCAATCAATGGATGCTGAGGGAGGGAGAATTAGTTTTCTCCAGGGACTAACTCTGAGAGGTCATCTAATTCCAAGTGGGCAGTCCTAAACAAGGTAGATAGAGCACCACTAAATGGACTCAGTGCAAATTTATATATATGTAAATATATAAATGTATGTATGTATGTATATATATATGTATGTATCTGTAACAACAATAATGAAAGAAGAGGACACGAAATCATGAGGGCATTGGGGGGGCATGGGAGGAGTTGGAGGGGGACTGGGAGGGGTAGAAATAATGCAAATACAATGCTCATGTATGAAATTCTAAAAAAAAAAAAGACTTTTATTAAAAAGTCTTTCTGTACTAGATAGGCTGAACAGGTTCTAGTAAATGAACTCACATCAAGAGACAGCTTGATCCACAAACTTCACTTGATAGACTTTAACATATAAGACAGAATTTGTGAAATCCTGTGGGTGGGCTATGGAGGGTGCAGGTGGGGGGAGTCTAAATATGATCAAAATATATCAAATGAAATCCATGAAAATTCAGTGAATAATATACATTTAAAAAGTCTCTCTGATGAAAAATAGAAATGTTTAAAGAAGCACTGCTTTGGAAGGCAATGGAACCCTTGATTCCCAGGCTGAACTCAGGGTGTGTGCAGGCAGGAAGCTGAAGGGACTGTTGTGGGCATGAGACGTAGATGGCATGGCAGCCCAGCCATCTGAGATATATGGGCCATGAAGAATGGCAGAGTGGCATTTGGGTAATTCCTGTAATGACATTTCTCTGCATTTAAGTGAGCTGGTGCTTAGGCATTTTAGCTAGGGTGGTTTATTAGGGGAAATGGTCTCACTGAAAGTAGACTATTCATACTGATTATATTCGAGGGATAAAAACAAGTACACTTGGGGTTCTCCAAAACACAGAGCACTGTCAAAAATCTTAACTTACCACATTTGATAAGGAGAAAGGGAACCATATGCCCATACTTTTTACTAACGTGTAAATGAGGCTCCACAAAACTGCACATGACCCCCATGTAGTCAGTTTAAAATGTCTAACGCTACCCCAAAGTTCTTCTCAAAGGGGAATTAAGTTGAAATATCTATAAACCTTCCTTCATGTGTCTGAATTTTTCTTTTGAAACAGGGTCTCATATATAGTCTAGGTTCATATGGCACTCACCATGTAGCCCAGGCTGGCTTGAAACTCATACTCCTCTGCCTCAGCCTCCTGAGTACTGAATTTCCATTTCCATCACCATGTTTCCTTAAACATCTTTCCTTGTGTATTTTTCCTTTTCAAACTAAAAGGAAAAGTAATATTCTATCTTTCCTAGTATTTTAGAGGATAAATCCATTACCTAAAGGCTAGGTGATCATGGAAATGTTTCACAGAAGCTTATGATTACTTTTTTCTTCAACAAGGTAAAAATCTGCCATTGTCTTGTGACTACTGCATGTAACACATTCTTTTCTTATCTCACCACGGTTGTGCCTTATGAGGACTTGGGTTGCCGACAGAACAAGAGACAGAGCAAGGCTGTGGGCTTAGAAGCTCTTCGCGAAAGACTTGTGAGTGATCCAACAGCACTGCATAAATCTCAGGAGATTGGCAGCTGCCATGGTGTATTAAAATCTCATTTGTTATAAGAGTAATAAGATTCCCTTTATTTATGATCTGGTAGATATGTTCAGGTTGGAATGAAAACTTTCCATCCTTGCTTTATTTTAAAGTGTATTTGGCACAACTTGAAGGGAGTAAAACAAAGTGTTGAGCTAAAAATAAACATGCAAACAATGCTCTAGAAAAAAAAGTTTCAGTTCTTTTTTTCTTGACTTCCACCAGCTAAAATTGGAGTTATGAACTGTATAGGCATCTGAATCTCCATTACAGAATTAGCAGAGTAACAGCAGAACTTATCTCTTGGAGGTTTTGCTGCAAAGGTAAAAGAAGTTTAAAAGAAAGGTAACACCTTAAAATCCTCCCAAGAACAAGGGAAATCAAATATACTTTTGTTTGTTTAAAGTAAAGGGGATCAAGGCCAGGCATGGTGGTAGATGTCTGTATATCCAGCTTTACAGGAGGCTGCAGTAGGAGCATTGTAATTTTTAGTCTAGGATATATGGTGAATTCTGTTTCAAAACAAATCAAAAACCCTCAAAAAGATTAAAGATTAAATTTAGAGAGTTGTGGAGAAGGAATGAGTGGAATACATACCGAGGTGTTTTCCCTGAAAGTGGTTTCCGAGTAGCTCTGAAGATAATATAACTGGTAATAATGGAGAACATCCCCCACATAGACAGAAACCGCCACCAGTAGAGCTTAATGGTGAAATACAAAGGTACAACCCACATCTGCAGCAAGGTCACCAGCTGTCGGAAAAACGAAGAAAGTCTCCTTCAACCACCAAGGGCCTGATTAGCATATCCATTTGTTGTGCTGGTGATGGTACCAGGGACTGCTGAACTGGACTCAGCCCCAGGACTTGCATCACTCACTAAACGATTCAGAATCTTTCTGGTAGAAAGCACCTTCACCATCATGGTTATACTATGCCATTGGTTTACCATAATCCTAGACATGAGAAGTCATGGAGGATTGGTGTGATCCTCTGAAAGCTCACATGGGAAGTGATGTAGAATGCCCATCTCCTCCCATTTCTCTCACCTGATGACTTCAGATCAAAGCCACGGAGGGCCTTAACAGTGAAGGGCTTTGGACAGCATTAGTACAGTTGTAAAACTGGGTCTATTGATGCCTGTGCTGCCTTCCTGTGCCACATGCCGATATGAGGTTTAAGTGCAGCTCGGAGAGTAAAGCGCTCTGAAAGCCATACTGTGTTACCCACCTGGAGCCAAGGGCTGCTGTTACCACGTGTGCCCATGTGAAAGGGCACAGCACTGTCAAAGGAGGAAGTGGTGGTGGGTGACTCAGGGCAGCTGCTGGGACTTCTGCCTGCTGTCATGGTGTGCTCCACAGGTCAGCTCCCTGGCCGCCCTGTTGGACCTGTGCCTGTTTTCCTTTTTGGCTGCCCTCTTTAGCTACACATGCCATTTCCAGGCAGCATGCTAGATATAGATCACATTACTTTCTTTTTGCTTTCTGGCATCAACCTTTTCTGGCATGTGCCACTGACCAGAGTCCAAGTAGCTGCTAGAGGGTAAATTTAATCTGTCTGACCCCAACCCCACAGGGCAGGTATCAGGACAAAGCTGATGGGCAGTGGGTACTGACTAGTTACAGTTACCTTAGCAACAGTCTTGCTTTTCAGAGCAGGCCTACTACCAGTCACCTCTCTTGTGAAAAGCAGATAGAATTTTTGGACTTTTTTAAAAACAGCGTTTCATAGCATACGGGATAAGTACCTCTTATTTGCCCAGAATGATTACAAAGGGACCAGCAAGGAGATTTTAATCCCCAAGTATGGACAGTTAAAATTCAGGGTTACCCTGCTCTGGTCCTAGATCCTGGTTCAGCAGCAAAGTATGCCAAATCTGTTCATCACACTGCCAGTGAGGGGAGAGATGCGTAGAGTCCATCACATATTTATCATCCTGAGATGAAAGACTGATAGCATTTGTTTTCTTTGCCTTCTTGATCTTTGAAATAGAAGGAAAAGCTTAGAGGGAAAGTCTGTACATTTTCGGCTCCTTTAAATAAGGTCTTGGTTATAATGGTCTGAGGCCCATGACCCAAACTGTAAGACAGGACTTCCAAATGTAGTGAAAAAAGGCAAATAGGAAGAATTTCCTTGGATTTTTATTATCCTTTTATTATGCCATCCTCAGAAACTGAAGATCTGAAGCTGTCTCGAAAATGCTCTAAGATCATCTTTCAGAAAATATCAAGATTGTTTTCATTCATATGCATTTGAAAAAATGTCTCCAGAGGAAAAAAAATACATGGAGAATTTGGGGGAAAAAATCTTGTAATCTGGTAATCTGTGCTTTTAAATCCCAGAGAACACAGCTAAAGGAAATATAATTTACTCTTGGCTGAATCAGTCAGATAATTGCAGTTTTTCATCCTAATTGTGGGTGTGGTCAATGTTAATGAATTAGCTAGTACCTTTACTTATGACATTGAGGTAATACATATATAAGTAGGAGAAACAGGCTTCACTCAAGGAAGTAGAATAGTTTTTACAAGGACTCGAGACCACCTGCTAGATAACCAAGACTCAAGATACACGGATGTTAGCCCTCACCATTGGCTACTGTGGAACTTTGATACTACTAATAAAAATTGCAGCCCTTCCTGCTTCCCTGGGCCAGCACGACCATCCAGCCTCTCTCCGGGTAAGTCAATGGTGCCCTCTGTGCTTTGACTCCCCCAGAATCATTCACCCTCCCATCTCCCCCAACCATCTCTCCTCTTAGCCTGAGTCCTGTCCCATTCCTTGTCTTGGCGCCCCAACACAGACACCGGGGAAACCACCACTGCTTCCTGTTCCTTCTGGAGGTCCCCAGGAGCCCTCTGGGCCTGATCCCACCCTCACTTCCCTGTGCTTCTCTGGGCTGCACGGCCTTCCAGCCTCTTTCCTGGACCCTGGGGTTGACCTCTCAGCCCAGGGCCACCACTGCTTCCTGATCCCTTGCATCCAGACAGACCCAGTTCCTTCTCGAGGTCCCCAGGAGCCCTCTGGGCCTGGTCCCACCCTCACCTACCTCTGCTTCCCTGGGCTGTACAACCCACCAGCCTCTTTCCTGGAGGCTGGGGCTGATCCTTCACATCCAGACCTAACCAGTTCCTCAGTGCAGTCCTCAGGAGCCCTTGGGGCCTATTCCCACCCCCATCTCCCTTTAGATCTATGAGTGTTACGGCCACCAGCTGGCTGAGACCAGTATCTTTCCTGGTCCTTGCTCCCAGGCTAGTCCAACCCCCAAATTCCTGAGGCAAAATCTTTCCTGGAAGGATCCAGACCTTAGGAGAAAGCCTGAGAGCATCTGATCCTCATCTGAGTTGGGCCTCTGTGGGAACTCCTGAAGACAAAAGCAATCTGGCCACTCCAATATAAAATCAAAGGAGAGAACTGGAAGCTTAGACAAACTAGCTTTTCATGCCCAAAAAGTAAACCACAAAGGAACATAAAGTTTACAAAAAGAAGCAGACCTAAGCTTGAAGACTTGAGTCTCACATAAGAATCAGACACTACAAAAGAAATTCACATGTCAAAATCACAGAGAAAAAATAATAACATGAAAAACCAGAATAACTTATCCTCACCAAATATGAATAGCCATTAGAGGAGTACAATGAGAAACCCCTAGAGATAATGCAGGACATGGAACTCAAAAAAAAAAAAATAAAAAAAATAAAAAAAAAATTTTTAATTAAAAAAAAAAGGCCAAAAGAAAAAAATATGAGTGAGTGTGTGTGTGTGTGTTTTATTTCATGTATTTAGGGTTTTTTGTTTTTTTTTTTTTTGATTTGGGGGTTTTTGTTTTGGGTTTGGGGTTTCTTTCGTCTTTGAGACAGTTTCATTTACCACTGGGCCCTGGTGTTAATTTTTTGTT